TCAATAAAGCCCGTTCTGTTGTACCGGTATTTTTACTATTAGTGCTCGGGTCTTCTACACCTGTGGAGGCTGTGTTTTGAAAATTCTACCTCCTTCTCGCCGTCATCCCTTTGCGGGCTCTTGGGTTATCGCTTGTGCACAAGCAACACAGCCGATTGTTGACTTTTAGCTTCTTTGAAGTGTTTAAATTTACCAATTTTTCTACTCTCAAGTGTCATTATATCATGCAACTTAGATTGTCGCATTCGGGAATGTCAACTAACATGAAATTGACCTCTACATGTTAGTGACTTCATTTACCTGGATGTCGTGTGACGTGCCTTCTCTCCTTGCCCGAAATTTGGCAAAATTTTACCCTGAATCGCCGCCTTTGATTGGTCAACTTCGCTGTGTTATTGTCGAACTGAATTCTGGATTCTTCGTAATGCCGTTTTGGAAGCTTCTAGCCCCACATCTCGACACCTGCAGCCGCACACATGATGAGGCCTTTAGTTTAATTCTTTTCTGTGTTTGCCATGATCTATTGCACACTGCGATGAAATGAATCACTGAACAGAAACAGTAACGCTCAATAACACATCTAAGCTTTTCGACAACTCTCCACACGCGGGACCGAAAAACTACAAGACTTGTCACTATGAAGAAATGCTGATAATGCTTATTATTTATTTATACTGAGAGCAGTAGAAGGGAGCTACAATTATTAGGAAAAAGGTGAGGCAAATTTTTCAGACAAAGTACGTGTCGAGGTTGGATGCAACAGTTAATTCTTTCTTACTTCTATTAGTCGACTGTCAGAAACCAACGCGTAGCATTGTACTAGGGAAGGGGGATGGCAGATGGAGGAGCGGGGCGTCAGTCTGATGAGCGCGTGATGAGGGAGAGGGACTTGGCGAGTTTCTCCAGGTCGGCAGTCTGCTGTGCGCGGCGCCTACCACGGCGGCTCCGCTGTGGGATCGAATGGGGTGCTGGTTGGGCGACTCCTGAGTCGACGCTTCTAGTGGGGCGGTGGGGGGATGAGGGGACTACGTGGGACTGCAACGAAGGCCACGCCGTCGCGGGGTCGCCTTCAGGCTGCTTGGCGGAGGGCAGATGCAGCCAACACGAGGGGCGGCTTCCGCGATCCGCACACGCGCTCATCTTGGGGAAGTTGGCTACGCGCTGCTTATTGACGACGGCCTGAGCGCCTGATGAGGACACCTGTGAAAGCGAAGCGAAATGACCAAAATCAACCAAGTGTCAAGAGACTACGGGGAAATCCGACGGTTCAAGAGTCACTGTCAGTTAAGTTGTGTTGAGACTTAAGTCAACAACAAGGAATGTGCGAACATGATGCAACCAGTTTAGCACACGAACAAACAACACTTGCGAGTACTACTGGCATGTGATACCGCAGATACTCAGGTGCCAACTCCAAAGTAGTCACAAAGCCAACCCTAACAGGGATCTGCTGAATTGGATGTGATTTTGACACCTGACAAATCTAGCAGCTGCATCAGGAAAATTCTTTGGCTTATAGACCAATCTCTCCTGCTTTGCACAGCCCTACGAGTTGCGCCAGTTTGCAAAATTAAAGATTTCGGTTTAATGACACACAAAAGATGTGCTGTTCCTGACACAACTAGTTCTAGGCTGTCATTGTAAAATCATAGGGAATAGCAAAAAATCGAGAAAATTTGCATTAAAGGGGGTCTTGTGAGGCGGAATTCTCTGAGACCAAATGGCGTACACATGCGAAAGAGCGGGGTAGTGGTGGTGGTGGTTGTGGAGGCATGGAAGTGGCGCTATGCTTCTTGCCAGCGGTGGCTACGGAGAGAGGAACAAAGTCCTCGTCTGTCGGCACCTCGTTGTCCAGGGAGGCGTGGCCCACAAGGCGGCATCCGACGGCTGAAGCACAAGACAACAAAAAAATACTCTCCACTCGACCAACAGCTAGTCAAAGATCCTTATCAGAAGAGGTTGCCGCCATGGGATGCCTGAGGATACCAGTGTTCTTCACAACTCCACGTTCTTATCTTAGTAATTTCTACATTACCTCGCGAGTTCCGTTTTGCGTGAAACCTTTTGAGAATGATTCAAGACTGCTCTGATTAAGCATGAGTGAACAGATTAGACGTGCAAGCTGACTTCTCTCATCTGCTGATGAGAATCAGATTACGTGTGACCGATTTGAGTTCACTGTGCATAAAGCGTAGCCTCAGTTCACAGAATAACAATCACGTGAAACACACACACACACACACGCACCAAACGCGTGGTGAAAGCGTCGACTCACAGCACTTGATTTGGAAACTATGAACGATGTTGCATGCGTTGAGGTGTGTTTGTGCAATCGCTAGGTGCAAGGTTTGGTAAAAATTTGCATATTTGTGAAAGGAGAAACGGGTTGAGGGGATTTTGAGGGGGTCAAGTGAATTTAGTACACTGGGGGTCTCACGTGTCAGCAGTAATAAATCCGAAGTACATTTACTAGACTACAAGCAAAATGTCCTCGGTTTCGTCTTTCATGTGACATTCACACCAACAAAAAATACATACAAATCATGAAAAATAAAGTAGAAAAACGAGCAAAAGGCGATGCCAAACAAAGTAAACAGCTCGAATAAATTGCAGAGGAAGCGAAAACCTACGCAGCGACTGAATTCGGTTCTCAGCTTCTAATTTAGCCAATGTGAGGAGCTTTTCGACTCGTTTCTTCTCCTCGCGTCTAAGCTGTCGCATGGTCAGCGCCTCTGACATCTCACTGAGGGTTTTGCCGCTGATTACTGGAGGTCCGAGGTCGATTTCGACCAGGTAAAATGTTCGACCAAGGGGCAAATGACTCAGATACCGGTATCTCTGTCTTAATTCCTAAAATATTTCGCACAATGAGGTTAGATCTTCCAAGACAACCAAGGCCTTGACCTTTGAATCCTTGAGACATATTAGGCGGACAATTACGTTGGCAGTTAGGAGTGGAAAAGGTAAAATAGGAGCACATTAAGCGAATTTCTTTCTTGCTTTAAGGTGCAAGTGGCGACCTACCAAATTCATCGTGCGAGACTCAATTTCAACGACCTTTCCTGAAATAGCTTTTGGCAGCTCCTCATTCCCATATTCAATCTGAAGACATCTCCAGTTAACACTGTGAAGATACATATCATTGCCGCTGACCTCTAAGATCTGTTAATAGCACAAATACAATAAACCTTTGTAGTAGATGAAATACTTTTCGAGTTCTGCATCAGTTAGCTCCAGTGTATACGCGTGGTCAGTCATTGGCTCCACATCTTCTAAGGCATTCCGTTCTGACTGAAGTAGACACAGAATCTCCTCTGCGACAGGAATCATGCAATCACTGAGGCCGTCTGATCTGCATTCCAGTAGGTAGGCTTCAATATCATCAATGTCCCGATTCACGATGGACCTCAAGTCATGATTCGAAGCAACCGCGATTCGCGAGCGGAAATGTGAAGCCAATTCAGATGTGGGCAGCACATTCTCTTTATCTGTAACCTCATTGTTTGAGTGTACTGGAAAGGTAACGCTTTTATATCGACGCATTAACTGAAGTTCAACAACATCACCAACTTGCGGAATAGTTGAGGAAATGATGCGGACACTAGGAGAACTATGGTCAAGAAAAAACTGACTACTCACCGTTTTAATTCACTAATTCGCAAATACGTACTGCAAACCGCACATTTTTGAGAGAGTGTTTCATTTTCATACTTGATAAAATACCATGCACAGGGGAAACAATAGATATGGCCACACGGACCCATTCGAGGAGAAACAGGTGGATACAGGCAAATGGGGCAGATAATATCCTCTACTTGATAGCATCGAACTTCGAGAACGTCACACCACGCGACCGCGGCATCCGGATCCCGGAAAACCTGCGTTAGGTCTGTGTGTGGGTTAATTAGAAGCTGGCAGTGTGCCGTGACGTAATCGAATTCTTCGTTGTGTTGTGTACGCACAGAGGCGGCTTTTGTAGTCGCAGAAATAGCTCGATCGTGGCTCAATTCAAAATCCACATCAGGGCTTAGTCGGCGCAGACGACGTCTTCTGTGGAAGGGGTACTTATTTATGGGGGGCAGTGGGGGGGATACAACTTCCGGAACGCGTTGGCGGCGGCCATCTAACCATCCTAGGAGTTGTGTTTACGGTAGGGCTACATACTTTTCCCTCCTGTGGTTACACACGAAGTCACCGGAACCAGGCTTCCTCGTGCGTTTCTTTCCATCGCCACTCTTGCGCAGTGCTTGGTCAAATGTATTCCGACTTGATGTGCTTGATAATGGGCGCAGCATCTTACAACTCCATTTTATCTAGCAAAAATGAATTTCTAATGCAAGTAACGGCCGTTCTTCTACTAGGTAGTTGTTTTATAAGGCGTAAGAAAGCACCAAGCAGCCGAGCAACAAGCGCCTGGCCGCCAACACAGAACCAAATGAATCAATCGTCGTTCACATCAAACAAACACCGTTCTAGCAGTGTGATCATCAGGAATTTGAGTAAATCGCTGTATCGCATAATAATGCAAATCAAAGAGCACCTTATGCAAAATAAATTGCATCTGTATACTACGCTTTACATATCACAAAAAAATTCACGAGAAAATGCGCGAAGAGGAACGATGATTGCTATTTTGATATATGGAATAGTCAGAAGTCAATATCATCGATATTTTATAAACAATAGAGGCTTTTGCTAGGAATTAAATTGAAACTTTGTTTAGATGTAGCTGCTTTAGTAAATTCTTTGCATGGAAACAGTTAAAGAAATCGAACTGTTCAAACGTTCCAATAAAACTATATTGGGAGAAGGTTTTGCAAGCCAAACTTTAATCGGCAATGGCACTAGAATAGGAGACATGCATATCTGCCATTAGCCGGTGCCTACGCCTCAAGAAGGCCAAGTCATTGAGACATGACTAGACTTGACATTCGAAAATATATTTGTTTCAAAAGTGCAATGATGGTACCTTTTTGAGTGCTTAAAATGTGTAATGTATTTTTCCGATAAAATTTAAAAAAAAAAAAAATTGATCGCCTAACCAAAATTAATACATGCATTTATAAATTCTCCTTCGGTGTCGCCCATGAATCACTTTGTTATTGGGACAAAATAAGGCAGGCAGGGATCATTGAATAGAAATTTCATTACAAATCGAAAAAAGTGCAATTTGTATGAATTTTTATAACTAATCAACGAGTGATTTAGTACTCTTGAAATTATGCCTCTTAATTTACAAGGTCGGCATCAGCCTAGTAGCGATTTATAGTAGCTCGCTTCCTACTTTTTTTCTGAAGGGCTGCAGCTGTTACATATCAGGCTTTTCCGATAAATTTTGGCTTTATTTAGGATGGCAGTTTGCTGGAATTTTGCTGAATATATCATCTGTGGTATTTAAACAATGCACTTCAATGGCGAAGGTTCAAATTCTCTTCGCTCACAAACTTACCTATGATAGGTGTTTTTACGTTTTGATTGGAATTAAACCTTCTCCGTGACAACTGTGTCCTAACGACAGTCAGAAGTACACTTTTGGTCATCTCCAGTTGTGGACGTTCATGGACTCCTTAACCTCTGAACAGTACATCGCTTGTTTGGGTAGGTACAGTTACTAGTTTTAGCTTATTTTACAACACAGAAAAAAAGCTTAGCCGTCTTAAACACGCCATAAATCCAACGTCAAATGACCTTGTCAATAACGTAAGCGCGATGAAATCACTTGTGCTGCACGACGTACTTACGAATTCGACGACTTCTAGTCTGTTCAATGTCGAGTCGCTTGAGACGGATCCCCTTGTGCATTTCGACGTGCTCGATTCACTGCATAGTAGTCAGTCAGAAGATGACCGCACTAAATCTGCATTGTGAAACTTACTTCCTCATTCATATTCTAAAGAAATGTGCTCATGTTTTTTACTGGCTTTTTTACTATTCACTAGTGAGATTTGAGGGAAATTAGCTATTCACTATGTTGCACTATCGCCGCTCACTGTACCGTTTTTGGAAGCTCTTTCGTCAAACTCTACCAATCTTGATGTGGGACAGAACATTTGATACATTGCACGGTCACACCTCCAAACCAATGGTAGCCGTCAAACGCGTTCACCCTTTTCGAATACGTGTCAACTCCTTGTATTGATTTATCGGGTGGCCTAAGCGGCGTTGAAGGCCCCCGTGGTAGATTCGAACCCACACCCACACGACAACATTAGGCCGATTCAAGCACAGGAGCCTACAACAACAGGCTTTATTTCTGTAGACAGGAAAACAGACAAACGTAGAAAAGTGGGTCGTCAATTGGTCTTCTTCTTCTGTCCAGGCACCCGTTTGCGCCCCTGCCGACCGCTCTTGCGATCGTTTTCGGGGCACAGAATGACGTAGCGCTGGGGAATGCGTATTGACGGCGCGTAGCCATCGGGGTAGCTAGGATCCTCAAAGTACAGCGAGTATTCGTCCTGTGCCTACAAAGAAAGCCGGTCAAAAGGTGTGCGGTCAGAGTACGCAACTTAATCCTGAAAACCAGTTGCAACCGCCCCTTCTGCCATCTAACACAAGTTTTGACGCAGGCACTTCAGGAGCAAATTGCTGCCAAGAGTCAGTGATTCGGAAAGATGGATACTAGTTCTTACGTTCGTCGGGTGAGTATCCACAACGGCACGGTAGAAACATGTTGTCTGAGGGTAAAGCGCGAGGACCAACTGAAAGAAAATTGGAGCTGTGTCAGTTGGGTGGGAGGGTTTACGAATGTCTACACAAATCAGCCAATCTAAATTACCGTTCCCTTGGGGAAAACCGCCTCCGGATTGAGCACGGGGTTCGCCTTCCACTTTGGCAGCAATATCACCTTTGATCGATCGAGGGTGTAGCGCCTAATAGCAAAAAGACATTAGGGAGTTTTGGATATGAATAGAGATTACATGTGGAGAAATGCGGGTTAGTAGAATGCGCACACGGAGAGGGAGGTAATATCGACACTACTACACCCTCCGACTTCTCTGGTTTTGCAGTTATGCAAAGATGATGGTAAATGGGTGAGGTGATAGATGACGTGCAGGTCAAAAAGAGAGGAAATGGCGTCTGGATGAAAATACCGCACGCTGTAATCTAGGTGCCAGGAGAAACCACTTCGCTTGGTGCGACTATGGGGGTTCCAGCACCTCTCTCTTCGACGTCAAAATTAGGCAGACTTTAGATGGAACCTTTCTAAGCCTGCAGTAAACAATGAGCTTTGAACTCCTGCAAAAGTGTCTCACTTGAAAAAAATCAACTGAAAAAAAAGCAATCCAACTGAAATATAATGCGGGAGGAGAGGGAGAACAAGCATGAGGGATGGCGATTAAGATGTGAGGCGCAAATGAGTCATTCCGAAATTAGTTGCTATACATTAAATTCTGAAACTTACTTCGGACTGCAAGCGTGGAAACAAAAGTATAAAGAACAATAAAACAGCAATTACATCACAATTCACAAAACAGAAGAGTGAAAATTGGCCTGTGGGGAAATCGGCGTCAAGTTAATCTCTATATTATGCACGAAAATTACGCTTAGAGTTAGTCGACCGATAGGTCTTTTGTCAAAACTCGACTCAATTGACTTTAAATCCAAACTGCACCCATCTGAGTGCTAGCTTAACAGGAACACCGCATAGAAAAGCAAAAGCCATTCATGAGAGCAGCTTTAGACAAAATATACAAACACAATCAAAGCACGCAGCGAAAAAAAGAACGCACACTTTGCCTTCTTCTGCATCTACATCTTCAACCTGGAATTGTCGCTTGTCGCGATTGAAGGAAATCACTTCAGCAAGGATCCAACTTTCGTTGTCAGCGAACTCGGCACCAGGCGACTCGAGATCAGGAACCAGGGCTGCGACGTGGTCACCAGGGGCGACCAAAGTGCTGTCAATGCTGCTGCCTGCACCAATCGCGCCGCATAGAGGAGGCGGACTACAAATTCCGAGTGCAGGACCAATGAATTTTAGAAACACAACAGCATGGCTTTGTAACGCTATTAGCATTGTACTATAAAATTTTGTAGCATCCAATCAAATAGGAACTAACCGTTCATCGACTCCGCCGGCCCACATTGGAATGGATTTTGCACTTTCTTGCAGAAGCGACATGAGAACACCACGACGCATATTCCTTGGTCCCTTTGCCATCTCTTATAACAAAGACAAATAAGATGCAAATGTTATGATCAACCTTACTTATTTTATATTCCAGTTGTTTTAATTCAATTAGCTTCGCTTGGGCTCGGAGAAGGGATCTACACAATAAAACAAACGCACAATCACTTTTGAAAGGCCTCAGTTTCGCTTAATGCATCTACAAGCCTTTTTGTCAACCGGTTCCGTTGCTCTATGACACTTTTCTTTTTAAGACTTTTGCCCTGAAGTAAATCTATGGCCAATTGGTGCGATTCACATTTGCGTTCTGCAGCCTAGCCAAGCTCGTGACAGACAGAACAATTAAACACGTACAACCGACTCCTTGCAGGCACAAATCAAATCATTAATTTTTTTCACAAGTTCCTCCTCCATTTCTGAACAACTAGCAGTCTACAAATAAAATATTTGTCACAGACACAAGAACGCAACCATGGCAGGATAAATTTTGCGCTTGATTAATATGTATAGTTAAACTATTTAAAGCGGTCATTCATTCAATGGACCTCTACCGCCACCTGCTTAAAATGCACCAAAATTAACTAAAAGCTTAACTAATGGTATTGACGTGTGCTCTTGGGACATTGACTAAGGCCATTGTAGCATAATTCTAAGTACATGAAGCTCATTTTTACTCTGATGAGACTGACACATGCTAAGGTATACGTCAATTTTTTGAGAAACGTTTAACATAATTTGATCAGAAAATGACTATTCGAGGTCTGATAAAATACTTAAAAGAAAATTACTTAACTTGAAATTTCTATTTTTGTGAATTATGTAATCCCAGCTGATGAATTTATTTTACCAGATAATTTTTGATTCTACAACTCAGGGTTTAAAACGGCATTTCAACACCCACATTTTATGTGCACCTTACAGTGGCGTGCCGTTTGAAAGAAATAATATATCGTATGTATAATTCTCGTCTGAATTTAGATATCAGGTAACTTTAGATTTAATTATCCTTTGTTAAATAAAAGATTGTTGAAAACAAAGAAATTGTTATGCACTAAGTTTCACTGTTTCAATGGATGTCGCTTTGTTGGGATTATCGCCAAGACGTGGAATTTTTGAAGAAACCATTTTCAAATGCATACCCGAGATATCAGGAAATGCAGTGATATATTTTTAAACTTAGCAGCATTCCAACACCCATGAACACCTACATTTAAACATTTAATTGCACTTTTAATGTTAATAATAAAAACTGGACGCACGTATTACTTGATTCCCTACTCTATAATGCGGTCGCACAGGGTGTTATCGTTGCACAACAGTTCAAAGCCCAGTTCGAGAAGTACGCAGAACTTCTAAGCTATAGCATGCTAAAAATGGTACAGCATAGCCGGCTTATTAGCTAAACACAGATTAAAACCATTTGTCATCGGTCACCTTTCCAAGTCCAAATGGCTCTATATGCCACACGTATTTTGAAGTTCTTCAGCAACCTTGTCTCTGGTTGGACTCTAATCATTAACGCAGTCCATAAAAAAGCCATCAGACAAATTTAGCTATTTTCATCCTTGTACGCCAGGTTTTTAAAGTATTGGAGACTGGCGCAACGAAATAGTCTTTATTTACTAAACGCAAAGCATAACCATGCGTCAACACAGTCCACCCAAGTCCATTAAACTGGTTTCTCCGCTCATTGTAAACCGTTTCTCCCCCGTCCTTGTCCCTTACTGACTGCGGATCTCCTTTGTAGGAATATGTTAATGCTCGGCATGATCAAATATGTCTGCTGCAGAATAACCGAGCCCAAGTATGAATAAGACGGGTACAAGAGAACAGGCTTTATTGACCAATCACAAGCCAGAGCCACACGTCAGGCGCCTTCCATCCGAGTCCCCACGCTAGCCACGCCGCTCATTATATACTGCACCTCAGTCGTGTCCTTCTCTGGTTTGCTGCTTACCGTCCTCGCATGCCATTGGAACGCAGCGGGACACAGGATTGGCTGCGGACAGATGGTCCAACATGTCTGTGCCCTAATCCGACGCTACTGTAGAATACCCGAGTCCTAGTAGTAAAAAGATCGGTACAACAGAACAAGCTTTATTGACCAATCAGAAGCCAGAGCCACGCGTCAGGCGCCTTCCATCCGAGTTCCCGACACTGGCCACGCCGCTCTTTATTTACTCCACCTCTGGTTGGCTGCCTGTCTTCCTCGCAGGGCATGGAACACAGAAAGACACAGGATTGGCATCGGCCAGGTGGTCCAACATGTCTGCGCTCTGATCCGACGAAACTGTAGATTACCCGAGCCCTAATAGGTAAAAGACAAGTACAACAGAACAGGCTTTATTGACCAATCACAAGCCAGAGCCACA